ATAAAGGAGGAACAATAGCGGTCCCAAGCAAGTTCCCTGGGGGACACCCGAGTCAACTGCTGCTGTGTCTGATGTTTCTCCATCCACCACTACCCGTTGTTCTCTGTCCGAAAGAAAAGCACTGATCCATGTTTTCACATTTCCTCTGATGCCGTAATAGTCCAATTTGTTAGCAAGCCTTCGATGGGGGACCTTATCGAAGGCTTTGCTAAAGTCCATAATAATCAGGTCAATCTGCTCACCGGTGTCTAATTTGGCGGATATGTCTTGGACTAGTGATATGAGTTGAGTTTCACAGGACCTTTTAGATCTAAAACCGTGTTGACTTTCATGTAGAATTTCATTGGCTGTCAGATGGTCCATGATGTTACTGACCAGGATGTGCTCGAAGGTCTTACTTAGTATACAAGTCAGGGACACAGGCCTGTAGTTGGACGCTTTGTATCTCTCGCCTTTTTTGAATATGGGTGTAACGTTCGCAGATTTCCAGTCAGATGGTGGATGTCCTTGTTGCAGTGACAGTTGAAATATTTTTGACACAAGAGAGGAGAGTGATTTGCACAGTTTTGTCTGAGGACCTGTGTCTGTGTCTTAATAATTTTGCGCTCGCTGGCTGCATATCACAAATTTGTTTATGTCATCAGTTGCAGTATTCTTGGTAGTGAGAGTGTAGCGGGACTGGAGTCGGTCATTAATTCGCCTTAGACAGGTCAAGTACACTCTGCCGATTGAGCTATAGCTATAAGCTTATACACCTATAAATTATAGCTGTATTGAGCTATATTTTCTTAGATTTCAATTTTCATTGAATTAAAGCAAAGTCGCATAAAACAATAAGGTTTATCATGGTAATGTTGACTACAAAAAGCATACAGTTAGATGTTTATTTTCATTTTTGATAAATGCGAAATTTCCGATTTTTTTACATCATTAATTTTTAAAAAGAATCCTTATATTTAATGTCTTTTGTTATCACCCTAATGATACAATCTTCTTTTAAAAGCAAATTTGTTTCGTTTTTCTTAAAAAAGAAAATCACTTGAAAATAGCTCAAACGACATATTTCAGATAGGTCAATATAGCTATTATAGGTCTTTACAGCTATATAGCTCTATCGGCAGAGTGTACTGGACCTGTTAGACCAGGCCTAGGTAGCTCAATTGGTAGAGGGTTCCAGGTTCAAATCCCAGTCTGCCTCTGGCTGTGCATTTTTCCTCGTTTCTCGTAGGTCCGACATCAATAGAAAGCTTGAAGCTTGTTGTGATGCCTCTTTGTATTTACAATTACTTGGTTGTTTCGAGGTTTTCTGACCAGTTACAGTGGTGCATGTGACCAACCCTTATCCTTCATGTCAAGTACAATCACAAACTTTTGTATTGTTGTACTAGATATGCTGGTGAGAGGACAACTGTTAGGCTAGGCCTAGTTATTATTACCATGCTGCTAAAATCACATCAGGATCTATAATGTAGGCCAGATGAGGGTCTGCCTTTGTATGGCAATCTGGAATCCAACAATGTAACTTAAATGTACTAACCTCATCAAAACTGCCATTGGCAATGTCTACTGGAAAAAATATGTGAAACACCTACACCAAGGAAAATGTTGTACCTACACCATGCTCATTGCATCAGTTCACAATGTTTTTGACTTGGTGCCCATGGACACTCTGGCAGTGAGGAAAGCCACCGTCAAAGCAAAGCTTCTTGCTGGGTCATACACGCTTCAAGGCACCAGAGCGAAGTACCTCAAGAACTGCAACCCATTATGTCTCATGTGCCAAGCCAGTAGTGAGGATATCTGACATATTGTACTACGGTGCCCAGCACTGGAACCTGTCAGGAGTCAGTACATACCGCTCATACATCAATAAATCATTGACAACTGTGACCATATAGTTTGCTCAACACTCATAAGAGATGCTGACAAGTTTTTACAGGCTGTTCTTGACGTAACCAATCCTCTTCTACCGCTAACCCTACAGAGCGAAGAAACTGCTATAAGAGAGAGAACATTTCTAGAAATATATGTGTTATGCCCTACACCTCCGTTGATGTACTTTGCTGGACATTGCCACTGGAGTGAGTATTTAGACTGTTGTGCCTGACCTCTGCCATTTAATGCTTCAAGAGACTCTAGACAAGTAATAAAAATTGCTATTCCTGTATATACATATCTCCACTCATTCGATGCACATAAGTACATACACTGGTAGTTAGATCTAATTAACCCTGTACATAATAACTGAGATATAGGTTGTTTAAACTGTCTCTTTCGCTTCACATTATAGTTCACCCAAAATTAGTCTACAAAGGTCATTGATTCAGCTCTACTTTCCCATATACTACTCAGCAAATATTGCAATACAGACTTATATAGGGTACATATACATTTTGTATGTCTCCCACTTCAGCTTTACAGCTTCAAACCGCCAGTCAAATATAGTGTATCTGGCTTCAGAATCAATGTACAGCCTCACAAGCTGGTTCTCCTACAAGAGAAGGGAGTTACTACTACTACTACTACTACCACTTGACAACTTCCGGTGGGCAGACTGTTCCAAATCCTAATGGTGTGAAGCATGAACACAAGACCACAACTACCAGCGTGTAATTCGTCAAATCATAATTAATGATGTCTGTTAATTATCAAGGCTTCAATCTACCTTTTGATTTTCATAGGTGACCGACAATAACACCAAAACGGCCCCACCAAAATAAGAAATACAAACACAGAATTTCAGACAGAAGCTTTGTATTCAGCAAAATGCCAAACATCTGCTGACCTACCTTTGCTGCATTGTTTATGGCATAGCTAACTTATTTCTAGCATTAGCGGGGCAGTCTTCGTTGATCAGGCTGTCGATTGTAGAGAACAATTAAAAGCTAGTCTAATGAGGATAGTCTAATTGGAAAGGGGAGAAGAGGTTATCAATTTGTAAGAACTTGATGTTCCAGTTGTATTTACATGTACCTCTTAATAAGTAACGGTCAAATGCATGCGTAACGGTCCGGTTATGCTAAAACAGCCTGGGGGAGAACACTGTACCTGAAACATACATATTTGTTTTTACCTTAGAAATTAAGAAATATACCTTTTTGTTTACCAAGTAGTTGCAAGTGTGCTGTAAAGATACATTTCCCATAGCAGTATCACAGTATACACAGTGTACTGAGCTACGTATAAATAGATGGGCACAGAAACTTGTGGTGAAATTAATGTTGTTAATGACAGTAACTAGATGGAATTAAAGAGTTTAGACTAATTAAACATTGCTGATAAACAACATAGAGCACATTGGTGTTTTATTTTGATCTAATTTGTTTATTTGGCAAATTTTACCTGGAGGACTAAGAAACTGGTCATCTGATGATATGCATTCTCAGTTCCAGGGAAAAACAATTGTGAACTTAATATTTACAGAGGCAGATGTTTCTGCGCTTTTTTTTTTTAATTGAAAACTGAAGATTATTGATTATTATCCAAAACTCACATTCAGTCATATTGCGTAAAAAATGCTTACTGTATAGTTATAAGATAATAATGTACACATATGAAGTTATTTTTATTTCTTCCCGTCACACTCAGATTTCTCCATCAGTCTTATAGTACAGTATTTGGCGTAAATCACCTAGCGATGGACAATTGAGCCAGGGGAGATAATTCTAATTATAACAGTCCATTTTTAGCTCACCTGGTCCGAAGGACCATGGTGAGTTTATGCCATACCGCAGCATCCATCGTCCGTCCGTCAACTTTTCCTAAAAATCGCTGCTAGTCATGAACGAATGAGCAGATTTTGACCAAATTTGGTCAGAAGCATTCCTGGGTAAAGGGGAACCAATTTTGTATAAACCTGGGGGCTGAGGGGCGGGGCCCAATAGGGGAAATATAGCAATTTGTTTAAAATCCTTCTTCTGTAGGAATGAAAGGATTTGGTCCATTTTTGGTGTGGAGCATCATTGGGTGTAGGGGAACCAATTCTGTTTAAACGGTGGATGTGACGTGGCCCTCCTGGGACCTGAGGGGCGGGGCCCAAAAGGGGAACTAGAGGTAAAACCTTTAAAATCCTTCTTCCACCATAGGGATTAAGGGATTTTATCCTAATTTAGTCTGGAGCATCCTTTGGCAAAAGGGACTCAAATTTGTATAAACAGCGAGTGTGGCCCCCCTGGGGGCAGAAGTGAGGGGCTCAATAGGGGAAACATAGCAAATTCTTCAAAATCCTTCTTCTTCTGTAGGAATGACAGGATTTTGTCCAAATATGGTATGAAGCATCCTTGGGTGAAGGGAAACCAATTTTGTATAAACAGTGTGTCTGACCCCCCTGGAGAGGCAGGGCCCAATAGGGGAAATAGAGGTAAAACCTTCAAAATCCTTCTTTTACCATAGGGATTAATGAATTTTATCCAAATTTAGTCTGGAGCATCCTTGAGCCATGGGGACTCACTTTTGTATAATTGGTGGGTATAACTCCCCCCCCCCCCCCCCCCTCCCTGTGGTCACAGGGAGTTAGAAGTTAGAACCTGGGCTCTCCCTGTGGTCACAGGAAGTTTGAACCTGGGCCCTCCCTGTGGTCACAGGATGTTAGAACCTGGGTTGTAGCACAGGCACCTGCATCTTGTATTCTTGTATGTAAAGATGTAAAAAAAATATGAAGGTGTAGCACTGACTCCTAAAACAAGACCTGGGGGCGGGGGGGGGGGGGCTTCAGTTCAGCTTTCAGTTCAATCCAACAGATATATTAAATATATGCGTGGTAAAATAACATATAACATACTTTGATTAAACATCCGTAAATATCAATACATGTAGTTGATTTGCAGCGTGTCCGTTTTACAATTTAATAAATCAGGACCAACGGTGATCCAGCTAGGTCCAAAAGACTCAAATCTGGAATAGAAAGTGGCGTTTAACAACGAGCAATCTGATTAGTCGACAGAACTGTTATAAAAGTTTGCCTATTTTGTCGACCAATCAGATTAGGGATATTTTGAAGCTACCAAGACAACAGTTAATAAGTAACTGTTGTATAGTCAATATAGCTCTGATTTCACAATGTGTTGGATTTTTAAATCAAGGCACAAAATGTTTTGAAATTGATTAAATGAAAGTTATCAAATATTTACATAAATTAAGTCTTCCATATTTTTTATTCTTTATATACTTGGAATAGAAATTTAAAAAAACCCACAAAAATACATGTATATGATGAATAGATTACAATGCCACACCAACACAAACTCTAATACCTGCCATAGAGTCGCTTGACTTCAGCAAACAGCTCCTATAGTTGAAGGAATGTTACTGGAAAGACAATGAATTTCCAGCTTATGAAATGGAAACTGCTCTGACACTCTACATTACTTATAATGATGAACTGATTTTGTTTTTCACTTCAGGCTGGCCCGTTTTGGAAGCTGCTGTTTGAGTTACTGTATTTTCTGAAGTATGGTGTGATTGATGATGTGACCATCAAGGCATATTCTGAACTTACTCAAGGTATGGTATAAACCTGTTCCTCAGTACACAAGCACATCATAACATCAACTCACAACCTGTTTAAATCAGCACTCGAAGCAACTCGTATATGTATTCTGCTGGACAAAGACTTTTTAACTTCATCTCAGCATAGATGATCTCAATGTAAACCTAACTTAGTGTGTTTGTGGTTATGAACAGCCGCTGATATTTTTGGGTTGATGGCAGTTAAAATGGCAATTCTGTCATGTGGTTGGCTGAAACATTTTAAATTCCACCAGGTCAGTTTCAACTAAATATTGTTAGTTGTTCCTGTTATTGCCCTTATAAAATGTTGTTATTTGTTATTTAGGTCAATAACAACATCGTGGTAGAAGAATATTTGTTAGAACTCCCGTCGAAACTAGCTAATGTCTACTGTAAATTTAGAACATGTAATGTTAACTTACTATTAGAATACAACAGAAGGAATAACATCCCTAGAGAAGGAATTTAATGTATTTATAATCTTTGTAACCTTAATGAAATTGGGACTAATTACATTTAAGTTCAATACTCTATTCAATTATGTAATTAATGACTAATTTGTCTTACCAGTCAAATTTACCAAGGTTATAATTGAGGAAATGAACTCTACTAATTAGTACCCTTACATAGTTAGAAATGTTTTGTATGTAAATAAAGTCTTCGTCATTGGCCTGAAACAAAGTTAACGAAATCATTTCTACTTCTTGCCTAGTTGAGATATTAAAGTTGAGATAAGAAACCGGTGAGGGATCATCATATAAGCTCATAGGTGGGGTTTTTTTGTTTACAGAAGAACTGGCTGTGTATGTGAAGAAGAGTATGCAGAGTCGAGGTTTCTACTCCAAGGAATTTTCTATACTGCCCAATGACATGAGTTCAGGCAGTAGGGAACTGTTACTGGCCTTTGCCTGGCTCATGTGTAAAGAGAATGTTATCGTCAAATTTATGGAACAGTGTTCCTCCCCAGTAGATGAAAACACACTCTCCGTGTATGAGGTAAGTTTCCAGGACCAGAATACTACAGAAACATGAATTCTTGGACAGTATGCTATAGAAACAGGGAATCCATGTATACATCTTATGTAATTTTATATAAATTATACAGATAATTATATAACATGTTACCTGGATTTGAATACATGGAAAAATGCTACCTTGACGTTAGCAAAGCACACATTTGATGTTTATTTCTTTAACTAAGTTATTGATACAACAAGAAACAAATCTTTGTAAGCTAGTATAGTTCCAAGCACAAACTCTCGGATCAAAAATGAACAAAGACCTCATTTTAGTATACATGTATATAAATGCTATGCCTTCCCAAGAGATACTCAAAATTTGGCAAATATAGGTAATAGATTTATCATTATATGAGGTTTGGCCTAGACAAATTGATGCCTGGTGAACCAAGGGGCATAACTCTGTATGTAGTTATCAAAGAACAAAGAGTTCTAATGTGTGCCACATTTTTCTCACATGGTGTGGCTTGCCCCTTCACAGATTGCAAAAGCAAAGAATTATACACAAAATAAACATATTTCTTATAAAATCTTTTTCGTTTTATACAAAAACGCCCCTGCAACTTACAGTGAACTGACCTCTTGATTATATATAAAGTGGGGAGTTTGAACTACTGATCATAATATTTATTATGTTAATACATTTCTGAAACATTATTAATGAAATAAGTTCACAACGTTTTAACTTCCTCAAAAGTGCCACACCTTGCGATTGTCTGTGTGTGCGAAAGAAACATACATTTGGTAGGAATATAATTTTTCAAGCCTGATATAGTAATACAGAAGAAAGGTGTTGGGATTAGCCGCTTTCAAAAACTTCCATTCAATATTTATGAAACATTCTGAATTGATAGAAGATACTTTTCTAAGTATAATGTTTATTGTTTGAGGTATTGAAGTTTCTGTATCATTATTACGAATTATATTCCTGTAACATCACCTCTATATTATTGTCCTTTGATGATCTCGTGTTATGCAAAGAGGGAGGAGAGCTTTTTTTTTATCTAAACATATTTTATTGCCCAAAATAAAGCAAATGTATTGGGCACAAGTTATTTCACCAATATGTACGCCCTCTCCAGGAGAGTTATAAGACACTGATCCCATCATGTTCCTAGATGTATACCACTAATTATAAATATGCTGCTGAAGCTGCTGAGAGTCGAACCCCTGCCTACTAGCTATAGCACACTAGAATTCAAACCACTAATTATCAAAAGATGGTTTGGATCCAACATTGCAACCAATGAAAGGTTTTTAATTCAGATTTTCACTGATTGTTTGATAATGTACCGGTATGCATAACCAGTCAAATTGTATTTCATCAGTGTAAAATATTATTACAGTACCCTGTCAAAGTGATATTTCAGTGTGTAAATTCAAACATGTAAATAAAGGTTATAATTTTCATTGTTTCCCAAATTTTAAAACTGAAATATTGGATTTGCACATGCTGGAATTAAATCAGAGCTGTTCCTTTGACTAGTGTCAAGTTGGCACAACGTTTTTCCTATTCCAATACACTGCACAACACTTTTTTAGCAAGACTTAAACGTTAGGGGTTATATAAGGCATAAATCACAAATTCTAACTCCTTTTGTATAGCAAGCCTCTAACATTTTGAGGGTCAAAAGTCATTTAAGGAGGCCATATGCCCCCATATGGAGGTAAGCTGAAACCCTGCACATGTGTTTACATATTCATTAGAGGCTATATGGCGGTAAGCTGAAACCCTGCACAAGTGTTTACATATTCATTAGAGGCTCTATGGAGGTAAACTGAAACCCTGCACATGTGTTTACATATTCATTAGAGACTGTATGGAGGTAAGCTGAAACCCTGCACAAGTGTTTACATATTCATTAGACACTTAACATGCTTTCAGTATACACATTTGTACAGTGTATCTTGCTGCATTTATTTGTCAGTTTGATTTGGAAGAGAATATCCACTCCAACTACCTAGCTTCCAGCCATTCACTCAATCCAGTACAGAAAGTCCAACATCTGCAGCTCCTCAACGGCAAGATGAGGTACAGTCTGAAACGGCTGTATGGTCTTCATAGAGAGAAGATCAAGCTTGACCATAAGGTTAGTGATTTGTACCTGGTATGTAGTCTAATCATTTTCAATAAGATTCATCAGCTTGGAAATATGTAATACCGAAGTTTTCCTTTATACACAAACAATGTACATGTGGACCAATGTGTCAAGCCTACCAGTGACCAATTCCATACAGTGTGTAAACTCTCTATTGATAAGTGAAACGTCCTGTGTCGAGTGACATAAGACATATACAAATTTGTCACACATTGCACAGGGAAACAATACAAATCGCTCACTCATTCATAGCTTGACAAAGGAAGCAGTCGGTCTTGAAACATTGCGACACGTTTAATACATACATTGTTTGTGTGTAAAGTAAAACTTTGGTATTAGTCAGAATCATACCTAGCATTTATTGAAGTATTGAACTGCTTTCAGTTGGCATTCATAGGCAATATAAAACATCTGTGACAGTGTTAATAGGTTTAGTGTGCAGGTTGAGGGTATGTGAAAGTGTTTTAATGTAAAGTTCGACAATAAATGTCTGACATTGTTCTACAAGTATTAACGATAAAAAGACAGTGATTGGTTGGTGATGATAGACATGTTTGCTATTCCACAGGTCCATGAATGTACCCAGGGTGTCTCTCTGTCCCCCAGACTGTCACACCTCACAGCCCTGGAGGTCCACATGCTGAAACATCCAGAACTGTTGAAAAAGGTAGACCTCATAAGTTAGGCAGTTCCAAAGCTAATAGAAAAAGACGTCTAGGGCAGGTTTTCATAAGTCCCATATAAAACGGAATAGCATCATAATTTATCATATACTCAAGCTGCTACAGGTATGCAGTTTAATAAGACCGACAGAAAAGTAACATGTACCGGGTAATATCACCAAATGTACATGTGATGTCACAAGGATTAGTCATCGTATGTACATGGTAAAGGCAAAATTGTTAAGCAAAAGATGTCCTTTACTTTTGGTGTTTAGGTTGAGCTAGCATATGATAAACAATTCTCAAACTTATTGCCATTCATTCGACTTTAATGAAAGTTGTTGCATGTCGTAATAATGACATAAAGGGAAACTGTTTGAATGTATAAAGAATTTATCACTTTTGGGGAAACAAAACTATTTCACATGCATTTTGTGTCCAACCGTGATTTTTGAACCCTTGAAGATATGTACCACCATACAATGTGACAAGTAATTATAACACATCTAGAACCTTCACCTCTAGGATATAGTCACGGTAATATTATGTTCACTAAGGTACATGAACTATGAAACTTTACTAGGGGGAGGTAAAGGACATTTGATTTTTGATTTGATTTGGTTTTATTTAATCATTTTTTGGAAAAAAGAAACCACCAGAAAACAAAACAGGTAGAATAATTAAGCTTTGAGCATGTTGCAAGTCCAAAGGAATTGCCAGTTTTGTTTCCCTAGGATAGTTCCTGATTATTAAAAATAATTGTGAAAATTCAACTGTAAGAATCTATATAGAAAATATATCTGTTCCTGTAGGTATTTCATCTGCTGGAAAAAGACAATGAACGATTGCAAATACTGTTAGTTTGGACTGAACAAGAGGAAAAGTTTTGGAAATGGATGGTAAGACGAATACACTGCAATACATGCTAATCTATGGTTATTAGTACTGTATAGTGGTCGTAAATATTGTGGAAAAGGAAAATAATGTGTTGTAAATGTTTGACCTATAAAGTACTATGAGGGTACTAAGGACATGTTATACATATAGTAACTGTGATGAAAGATAATGTATAATTCAAACTAGAAATATAGTTTTTCCATGATATTTTTTTCTGTCAAGAAATCCTGAATTCAGAAAATGGAAAACATACTGTTACATGGTAATCACACCTCTCCTGTATTTTCTTACAATCAGGAAATGAAACAACATATTAATGATAGGGAATTAAATTAGTATCACTAATTTCTTTACTCAGGAGAGTGTCCTTGACCTGAAAATGCAGGAGATGTCTGTCCATGGAGGTCAAAGTGTGGCCAAACTGCTGTATTACAACATTCCACCTGATAGTGTGAGTGGTATGGAGACAGCCCGCCTACAACTAGAGGAGGCCATAGTGAAGTACGAGTCTATCATAGAACAGCTGGAAGATGTGTGGGAGTCTAAGGTAATGCACAGGTCACACAAAACAAAGCCTCTTTTTGTTCAGCCCTATTGTTACTTTTGAACTTGCTGTTTTAACATTATTTCTGTATGGCCCACTGGGGTTTCAAGATACGTGTAATTACAGAACTATTAAAGATAGTGGAAATTGCTAACAACATAGTATAAAATATCAGTTGAAAGTATTAGATTTATAGTAATTTGAAGGGTGGATAATTTGTATATTAAAACAAACCCAACCTCTGCTAGTGTATAAAGTTTTGGAGTTAAAGCAGCATCCCTGTGTGATAACATTTTTTTTGTAGACAACAGTTGAGATGATTTCTCTACAATGTACTGTGGTTTATTACAGAGAACCATTGTAACAGAGCAGGAACTAGACAACTTGCTAACTTCCATCAACATGGAGATTTCATTACAGCAAGCAAATCTTGCCCTTGACAACACAGAGCAAGTACTGAGGAAATACAAGGATCCTGGACTGTTTTACCAAAGGAACTCCACTAATAGCAGCAAAAAGGTATCTAACCTGCAGGTATCGGGGCATGTGAGGGACCTCTCTTGGCAAGGGGATGGTCCAGACCCACCCACAGACATTCGTTCAGAAATCTCCGTTCTCGAGGCACAACTTAAAAGACTAGAATTAGAGTCTCGGAGTAAACGGTCTCGCTATTGTTCAGATTTGGATACTATATCCAGTAGCATACCTGACTCTATATGTATTCAGCCTAAAGGATATCGGTAATACTAACTGTGGCGAGGGACTTCAGTGTGCGAGTGATCGAGGCATTACTGGGATTGGGAGTGTATAGGACAGTCCTTGTTCTACAAAGTTAGGTGTTCTATAGCAGCACATCAGTCAGAGTCGAGGAAGTCAGAGTCGAGGACAGCCAGGCTGTTATTTCTGGTCCATACTCATTATCTGCATTATAGGTAGCATTATAATTATATGCCTTAACTTGAGCAATTCTGTTGTAACAGAAAACAAAAAGTTTGGTCTATTTATAGCGATTACAGTTAACGGGATGCGTCAATTGTGATCACAGTGATATATGTCATTTGTATGCTTGCACATAGTCCTTAACTACGTTAGATTTTAAAACAAACTTATAAAAAGCATTGCTTACTTGCTATGCATTCTAATCTGTGGGATCTGTTTTAAATACCAGTGTATACTCTCTCCACAACCAGATTTGTTACATGTTTTACTATTGAAAATTATCAGTATTGAACTCTTCAAATATGGAAAATTAGAAATTTTCTAGAACCTGGTCATTAGTTATGTATACCTTGATATACCTGTTAATGTTTTTCTCACAGTTTTAAATTGAACTTTTCCCCCTGTAAACATTTTGTACAGAATATATATAAAGGCCTTCAACTGAATCTTTTTTTTTTTTAAAGGAGGAAAGATATGTTAAAACTGCCACATGTCATACTTAATGTCTGCAAGCAATCAAAGTAATGATTGGTGATTATCCATATATATATATTCATTAACAATGATACTAAACCAACATCTCTGCCATTTAATGGATGGCCTGGGAGTTGATTAAAAGAGACTGATGGCTGATGTGAAGGCAAGGCATTAACACTGTTATATGATTTCACAAATAGAAAGAATTGTAACTAGTTAATCATGTCAGTACAATCCCAGGTGTTTCAGATGATATCAGAAACTATTTCATATTGATATCTATCACATCAGTTGTCATACATTATACAACTGTATATTGTTATCTATCAGACATTATACAACTGTATATAGATATCTATCAAACCAGTTGTCATACAGCTGTATATAGATACCTATCAAACCAGTTGTCATACAGCTGTATATAGATATCTATCAGACCAGTTGTCATACATTTTACAACTGTATATTGTTATCTATCAGACCAGTTGTCATACATTTTACAACTTTATATATATATCTATCACACCAGTTGTCACATTTTACAACTGTATATTGATATCTATCACACCAGGTGTCATACATTATACAACTGTATATTGATATCTATCATACCAGTTGTCACATTATACAACTGTATATTGAAATCTATCACAGCAGTTGTCATACATTATACAACTGTATATTGATATCTATCACACCAGTTGTCACATTATACAACTAAATATTGATATCTATCACACCAGGTGTCGTACATTATACAACTGTTTATTGATATCTATCACACCAGTTGTCACATTATACAACTGTATATTGATATCTATCACAGCAGTTGTCATACATTATACAGCTGTATATAGATATTTATCACACCAGTTGTCACATTATACACCTGTATATTGATATCTATCACACCAGTTGTCATACATTATACAGCTGTTTATTGATATCTATCACACCAGTTGTCATACATTATACAGCTGTATATTGTTATCTATCAGACCAGTTGTCATACATTTTACAACTGTATATTGATATCTATCACACCAGTTGTCATACATTATACAACTAGATAGATATCTATCACACCAGTTGTCATACATTATACAACTATATATCTATCTATCAAACTAGTTATCATACATTATACAGCTGTATATAGATATCTATCAAACCAGTTGTCATACATTATACAACTATATTTATATCTATCACACCTGTTGTCATACATTATACAACTGAATATTGATATCTATCAGACCAGGTGTCATACATTATACAGCTGCGTATTGCAAAAGAGGTGTCTCATCACCACCAGAGTTTTGGAATATAAAAATATAAGTAAAATTACAGGGTTTCCATAAATTATGCTAAGTTATTTAACAAGATTAGCAAACTTTACACACTCAAACTGTCTAGCATGGATACTTTTAGCATGAAAGTATGAGATTGTTACAGGAGCATGTTTGTTTGACAAAGTAGGACCAATATAGTTTGTTGTAGTTATAGTTTAATTATCTGTGATGCATTGGTGTTATCACTCATACTGTGATGTTTAATTTGGAATTTTATGTAGTTTGCTTTCCAGTCAGTTTTGTCAATTTGAACACAGCACCATATGATCAGTCTTCAATAATTTGTGTATCTGATGATGGACTGGCCATGTGTATCCATTAAAGGACTGGCCATGTGTATCCATTGAAGGACTGGCCATGTGTATCCATTGAAGGACTGGCCATGTGAATCCATTGAAGGACTGACCATGTGTATCCGTTGAAGGACTGGCCATATGTTAATGATGTCATAGAACATAAGAAGGTTAATTCAATGTACTGCCAATTTAAAAAGTGTAATGCATAGATAATCATTTTGTATATTAAATGTATCATGTTATATTTATATTTTCACCAGCATTAGGTTAAGTTAAGTTTTTTATATATGTACTTGTGTACAATGTTATATTTGTGGTCAGTAACTGTAGAGTAATATCTCATGTTAATTTGCAGTCTTAAACACTTTCCTAGGGATGCAATGTATGTGTATCTATTATGCATATTCTGGCATACGAGCGCGTAATGTGGTATTTAACAGAAAACAGTGAATTTAATAGCATAATCTTTGGCCTCATATTCTTTACAAGGCAGGGCATCATTTTGAGCTGACGACTCAACAAAGTTTTACCTTTTTTTGCTATATTAACTTATAAATAATCTGACATAAATGCTTACAATTCTGTAGATAAATAGCAAAGATGTACAATGTTCCAAAGCAACAACTTATTCTGCTGTCACTTCATCTGCTAGGAAAGGACAATTCTGATTGGTCAATACAGAAGTGATATTTTCACACGGTGACAAACATCACTTGTAAAATCTGTCACTGCGTGAAAAATATCAGTTTCGTCTGGTTTATAGAATTCAATATGATACTGTTGAAAAATGTAATAAAAAGAACTTCATGATAAGGAGCGTAGTACTTACAGTTACAATGTTTAATGTGTTTATGTTATAACATCATGTTGGGAGCTTCAGATTTGTTGATGATTTACATGTGTATAGACATTCATTAAAAAACATGTATATTGAAGTGTATGTCTATGCTATGATCAAAAATGTGCTGATCATGATCGCTGGTTGTTACCATATTACTGTATAAATATTTGTGTCACTGTAAACAAATCTGTTGCTATAGATGTACTGGATTAAATAGGACACCAGCATGATTAGTATCAGTTTGTTTCACCAGAATAGTGCTAATAGCGGTATTACATTATCAGTATTCATAATGTTATTTTATAAAAGGCTTTCTATGTCAAGAACAAGATAACTTACACATTCAAATTAAGGCATAAAACCATGATTTAACACATTAGACTATATACTGCCCTCATAACAAGCCAACACATTAGACTATACTACCCTCATTACAAGCCAACGCATTACATTATACTGCTCTCATTACAAGCCAACACATTAGACTATACTGCCCTCATTACAAGCCAACACATAGACTATACTGCCCTCATTACAAGTCAACACATTACACTATACTGCCCTCATTACAAGTCAACACATTACACTATACTGCCCTCATTACAAGCCAACACATTACACTATACTGCCCTCATTACAAGCCAACACATTACACTATACTGCCCTCATTACAAGCCAACACATTACACTATACTGCCCTCATTACAAGCCAACACATTACACTATACTGCCCTCATTACAAGCCAACACATTACACTATACTGCCCTCATTACAAGCCAACACATTACACTATACTGCCCTCATTACAAGCCAACACATAACACTATACTGCTCTCATTACAAGCCAACACATTACACTATACTGCCCTCATTACAAGCCAACACATTACACTATACTGCCCTCATTACAAGCCAACAC